GTGTGTGTGTGTGTGTATACAGCCACTATTAGCACAAACACATGAAATCAACTGAAGTTTGTCCACAAGGCAGAGCATGAAAGCAAACTGAAGTTGGGCAACAGAGTACAGAGTTATAAAATATTCTGTTAGGCAACAGCAAATTAACATTCGCAATGATTTAAGGCAAACAAGCAAATGCATGGCCGGAGATATAAAGGACGGCGATGCATTCTCGTTTAGTAAAGTTTCGAACAGCTCCGCTCATTACACGTTCAATCAATTTAATCGAAGTTTGGCAACAATGCAAAATTTAGTTCTTTAACCGATGCAACATCGACCTAAAGAAATGAAGGCGGACAATAATGTGGATACGACTAGGGGTATGACTATCTATAACATATATAGTGAAGTTTGGCAACAATGCAATTATTCGATAAGCTTCTGAAATTTCCATTTGTTATGAAATCAGAAGAGAACCCTAAATTTATTCTCATTAATATATACATATCTCTCTACATCTCTTGATGAAGTTTGGCAACCCTGCATTCAAATGCTATAAATGGAACAAATTACAGCTCAATGTTGAGAGACTGCCTCAACAATGGACATTGTTTTAAAAGCTTTAGCTTTTGTGCTGAAGTTTGGCAGCGCTGCAGTCAGCTTTGGAGCTGTATCGATTACAGCATCTCATTGTGCAGCACCTGATGCGCTGTTGCCGCACTTCCCTCCCTCTCTTCCCTCTCCACCTCCCGCTCTGTTGACTGATTAATGCAGTCAGTCAAGCGTTGCTCGTACGCAAAAAATTATATTTATATGTATATATGTGAATAAAGAACAAAATATATTTATAAACTCTGGCTCAAGTGCAGTTCTGTTTGGAGTTGAAAAGTTTTCTCGCAGGAAGTTTTTAATTAAATGTGTGGAAAATATGGAATATTGTTGGAAAATGCTTGTATACGGTCTTCAGTGCAATAGAATTGAGCTTTAAAATATTTTGTGGCTTGCCAGCGACCTTGTGGCTCATGGGAAAAGTCAATACATTCTGTGAACGAAGTGAGTGAGAGTACGGGCGTACGGGCGTCTCGACACCATTGTCTGGACGGGCTTTTGTACAATTTTATTGTTATTGTCCATTACATTATCAGCACGCTGTACAGCTTGTATACAACTTGTTATGCAGCATCACTAGCAACTCGAGCGACATCCAATACCATAGACGTTACCCATTCAATGAGCACCCTGAGCACCCTACCCTTGCCCGCCTGATTTTCTCTTTGTATTCGTCGTCGTCGTCTCTCGCACTGCAGACTTATTAAATATCAGCCACATTGTTGATGGTCAGTGATTTTTATTGAGCGACTCGACTCGACTCGACTTGCTCCTATTCTGGTTTTGCTTCCATCTCTGTCGCCGTCTTTGTCTCTATCTCCGTCTCCCTCGTTGCTCTCTATCTGGCGTCTGCTGTCGTCTTTTATTATTATAGCTGTCTGGGCTGTCTGCTTTTTGCAGCGCGGGTTACTGTGCGTCCTTGAAGTAATTTACGTCAGTTGACAATGCAGTTGCTGTCGGCTGGCCGAAGGAGGGTGCACGTAAAATATGGTATTGGGCACTCGCACTTACGCACTTAGGGGCATTTCGTGTGGCCCGAGCTCTGAGCACAAACGTCTTAAGTAGAAGGCGAAACCATTGATGCACATAAGCCACAGGATAAGGAGCCTAGACAGACGCCTTTCAGATGTCAGCCGGACGAGTGGGCTTAACTTACCGCTATTAATAGCCTACTGAGAGAGTGCATAAAAACGCTATAGAAGAATCAGTTGCTCTATCTAGCCAAGGCAAGCAGATGAGGATTTCACTTGTATTTCCTTTCGATTTCTTGAATTCCTTTCTCGAATCAACGATGAAATATAATACCCGTTTATTGTTCGATCATACATGAAACCTAAGCAAGCAGTAAAACATTGAATATAGTTCCAGTATTTGATTATTGCTGTGGCATTGTCTTTAGCTTTACAACTAACAATACACCAATTAATATTTGATACTGGAATTCCAAGGTTGGGCTGCATAATCAACTAATATAGGACAATATAAAGTAATTTTTATACTATACACAACGTAAGGCAACATCTGAATTAAATTTCAACTATGTTTATTTATTTATTGCGAATTTCTATAACGAATTTAATATCGGTTTTCAGAAGCGCCAGAGGAAGTGGGTTTTCCATAGCGCCAGCCTCGGCAATTGATTCTCTTGAATGTTATTCAATCTTCAGCAGCAACTCTTGCACTTCACATATTCACATATTCACATATTCAGATATTCATATATTCATATTTTCCCATTCGGCCCCCTGGCAGAGGCATTGAACTGCAGTCGAGGCGGAGGATGAGGGAACGAGCGGAATTGTTGGTGACTGCGTTTCAAGTGCAGGCATGCTCTGTGCTGCAGCCGTAGGCCGAACATTTCTCATTTAGTTTTTTTTTTCTGGCAAGTTTTTCCTGGCTCCAGGGCCCTGGCCACGCTATACTACGATGCGTATGCGCAATTTTCGGTGCTCGAGCCGTTGACATTGTGGGAAATTCTTTTGTCGAGTGCAGCAGAAAGTGTATTTGACCGAGGCTACTTCTTCTGCTTCTTCTGGTCGAGGCGGCGGTATTACATTACTCTGACTGGCACTCTGTAAGCCGATCACAACAGAACGGGGGAGCTATACGAGCATATTACAAAATACATTTCCAGGAATTTCTCATAAGCAAAGCGCCAAAAACTGAACAACAGAAATCAAGTAAAATTATTAAATGTGAACATAATGCGATTATCAATTTGTTTGCTTGCTGATTTGTTTTTTCTTTTCTCTATCTTGTTCGTTTTCGTTTTCGTTTTCTTTTTCATTTCGTTTTATTTTTTTCGATTTTTTGCAGTGTAAGCTGCATTCAAAATTCAGAAATTATAAATTTCACTAAACTGCTATCCACATACGAAATTTATATATTTTGATAGCAGCTTTGGGCCTGTCTAGATTTTTTGTTAAGGCGCATTAATCTCTCGCCGCGCGACAAATTGTCAAAACTTTCGTTTTGTTTCGAACACCTGTCCAGTTCGCATTTTGCGTCTATCACTTTCTCGCTCCCTCTCTGCCTCTCACTCTCTCCCTCACACACACCCATCCGATGTACGATTTTATTTTGCGGCAAATAAATCACTTGCAAAAAGAGCTGACGATTGCTTGACACCAAAATACGAAAACAAAAACAAAAACAGAAATTAAGTGAAAGGAAAGGGGCAAACGAAACAAATTGCGAAAATTCCCTCAGGTTCCGGTCTTAAGTACATCAAATCCGTCATCATGATAAGCTACTGTAATATTTAAAAATCTTCTGCATAATTTCGAACACGCCTGATTTATGATCTAATTATGAAACAGTTTGTCTCTATTCTTCACGCGAATTATCTCGGCTAATTGTGGGTTAAATGTATTTTATTTTCGCTTTGCTTTCTAAATGGGATCTTAAGTTATTCACAACATTCTTCAACATCAAAAAGAAAAATACATTCAGCTTAAGATCTTAATATTCGTCATCATTGTTGGTAGAAACAAAAATTAAAGAAAAATCTATGAAAAAGTCATTCTTAAAGATAGATCGCTTTAACTAAGTCCCTGATTGAAAAAAAAAAAATGGTCGAAAATTGTAATACTTCCCCATAGAAAAATATAATTCTGCTTATATATATATAAGTAAAAGTGTAAAAGGCAGAAGAAAGCGTGGCGGACCCCGCAAAGTATATATATTCTTGATCAGGACGACAAGCTCGATTTAACCCCGTCCGTCTGTCTGTCCGTCCGTATGTATTAACGCGTCGATCTCAGAAGACATAACAGCTAGACTCTTGAAATTTCTTTTTCTCTAAATATCGATAACTACTCCCTATATTTTATTATCGATTAAAAACCTTATCGAAAGCTACTTATTTAATTATATCTCCTACACCTTTAGAGCTACATTTTATATCAGTTCGATTTTCGTCAAAATTTAACCCTATATCCACTCCCTCATCCACATATTTGTAAAAGGCGTATTTCATATACTAGAGACTTGTGCTTTGGCACATACACGCATTTTATTGTTATGATCACGATCTACAAGTTTCCTGAAGATAGTCCATCGACAATATTAAGTCGTATTAAACAATTAAGTTCCCATAGTAAGCCACCACTGCACTCCATGCGTGCTTATGCGTGCATGCCTATGTGTGTGTTTCTTGTGTATGCAGAAAGGCGCGAATAATTATTGAAATATAAATTCTTAGAAGAGTTCAGGGGATTTCGTAGTCGAGCAGTCTCGACTAGAGCTTTCTTGCTTGTTTAAAATGAATTTATTTATTTTATTTTATTTCTAGTCTTTACAGTTCAATCTACGTATTTCTAATATCTAAAATTTTATTATATATATATTTATTTTTGTGGGTTCTACACTTTTTACAGCTTGGAATCTTGCCAATTTTTCCAATGTATCCCTTTTTCTCGTGGCCTTAGTAAAGTGGCTCATTTGGAGGTCTAAATTGTTGTTCGGCACATAAAAAGGCAACAACAAATGTAAAAAAACATTACCCGCCCCCGCTAACCGGACAATGCGAATTGTTGGGCAAAATGTTAACATTTATTTATATATAAACATATTTATATATAAACAGCGTTTATTTCATTTGTTGCTATGACAAAAAGTGTGTCAAGGGGCAACTTGTCAGTCATATGATGATATGATTTCTGTGCGCCTGTCAAATTACATTTTTTTTTGGCTAAGAGAAATTGCGTAAATGCTGTGTTGCGGGGGCGTTTGGGCGTGTTAACAAATACTTTTATATAAGCATATCTATACATACAAAAAATATATATATACAAGCATAGACAGTGCTAGGGACGATTACCTGTGGCTGGGAAAATTT